ACCACACTCCAACCCCTCATTTCTGGCCCCACCATGCAATCCGCACCCCCGCACCACACTCCAACCCCCTGCCTCAGCCCGGAGCCCCCTCCCATTCTCCAAACCTCTCGGTTCCAGCCTGGAGTCCCCTCCTGCACCTCTGGCCCCACCCCAGAGCCCGCATTCCCAGCCAGAGCTCTTGCTTCCCAACCTACTGCCTCAGCCTGGAGACCCTTCCTGCACCCTGAACTCCTCATTTCTGGCCCCATCCCAGAGCCCTCACCCCCTTCCCGCACCCCAGCCCCCTTGAGCCAGCCCGGTGAAAATTAGCTAGTGAGTGAGGGTGGGGAGAACGGGAGATGGGGCAGGGAGCGGGGCAAGGGTGTTCGGTTTTGTGCGAGTAGAAAGTTGGCAAGCCTAATCGGAATCTTGGGGTAAACTCATCCTTAATGGGAATTCAAAGAAAGTGTTAGGGTGAAGGGAATGGTGGTTTGTTAAACAATTTAGTAAGATGGGAGTTGATTTACAGTCTTCCTGTTTAAGGAGTCTTGAAATATGCAATGGTGTGGTAGTTTGGGGTGGGTGGATAGGATCATCTTATTTAAATTGGTTTATACAGGACTACAGCAGTTTGTATCTGTTTGTTAATTCAACACTTTTTGAGATGGAAGGTACTGTGTAGAGGTAATTTATTGATACCGAATCTTTTACATGAGATCTCATTTAGATTGTCATTGCTGTAGGCTGACATGTTTTCTTCTCAGTGGAAAAAAGTTTTATTATCAAAATTATCTTTGCTTGGGGTGTGGGAATAGCTGGACACACTCCTACTTGTGTTGAATTGTATTCAGATCTAGCAACTCACCGACTTTGTCACACCTTTCCCTCTACAGTCAGGTTTGGAAGAAGGGCTACCCTAAGACTACTTTTTATTTCCCCTTTTTCATCCTTCTCCACCTTCTCCTAGGAATTTTTAAAAATATAGATCACTGTAACACATTTATACATAGAAGTACCCCGAAAGAGTGGCTTGAAAATCATTTCTGTGGGCTAAAATACCTCCACAGCCAGATTCTGCTCATGTAATTTAGTATTTCAGTATAGCCATGCACTCTAACACATTTTACTATATATGTGTGTTATTTTCTTGAACAGGAAGCATTAAGAAAGGTTTTTAATGTCATTTTAGCATATACATACTTTTAACAATATTTAATAACTTTTCTTCAAAATATGTCATTTTAAACATTCATTTTAACTATTGTACAAAGGCGCACATAACAACTCTAATGCTTTGAGTAACTAAATGTATGCCATATATTTACAGGGGCACTATCAATATTTTAAAAATATAATTGTATTACTTTATGCAAACTACACTAGAAACCGAGTCTACGAAGTGTAGCTAAAAATTAAAGTAATTCAGAAAATGTATAGACTTGAGGGCTTTTTTTTTCATATTTCCAGTAGGAATCACTGGAATTTTTACTCTTTAAAAAATCATGGGAAGAGGTGGTTACAAATACCGTATATTTGTTGCAGTAGAGAAAAAGCCTCTGATTATGGCACCATCTGGAAGAAAGCATGCAGGGAAAGCTGGTAAACCAATACAGGAAGATCAAGCCTTATGTGCCTATAACTTTCAGGAAGAGGAAAAGAAAAACTTGAGTGGATCAGAAGAAGATATTAGGGAAGGTGCAGTATCCCGTGAAATCATTTTCATTAAGTTTTATGAAGTGTGTGTGTGTGCGCGCGCGTGTATATCTATCTATATCTATAGATATATATAGAGAGAGATTTAAAGTTACTGAAAAATTAGTGATACAGTATAATGCTGTTTCTTGTTGACATTTCTGATGGTGAATAAAAACAAGATAGTTTCTATGTCACAGTGATTACCTAATTTAATAAGGTTTCATAATTTTGCTACTGATAGCTTGACTTTTAAGTTAAAGATTTTGACTGACCATCACCTGGAGAGAACTTTTTCAAACAATGGAACAGCTCCATGTAGTATGCAATTATATGTCTGAGGTTTATTGTTGGTGTCTGTAATAGAGTAAGATTTTTTTAACTCCCTCTTGTCCTTCAGTCTCCAAGATGGTGCTCTTGTTTTGTGGTTCACAGTAGACCATTGATGACATGGAAGAACTGCTCAGGCAAGAGCAGCATGCTCTTCTCCTCTGGTTAAGCTTGACATTGTTCTCCATCCTGCTCTGTCTGAGCCACATGGACAAAAGGAACAGGAGTACTTGTGGCACCTTAGAGACTAACAAATTTATTAGAGCATAAGCTTTCAGCTACCTGTGTACCAGGTGCCAATTGATGTACCTAACTGTGCAAGGAAAGTGTTCTCATGTCAAAGGGTGGGATTTGGATTTGGATTGTCGTGCTGGCTGTGAGAAGAAGGGAGGTGCGGAGAGTGAAAAACTAAGAAAAATGGGCAGAAGTCTTGAGGAAGAAGGGTGAGAGGACAAGAGGGTAGCCTGAAGAGAAGATAGATAACAAGGAAGGAAAGGGGAAAGAGAAGGAAGGAGAGATCAGCCAGCCAGTGAAGGAGTTCTTGCTTCTGTCTTGGGAAAGTGTAGTTTGTCAGAAGGGACATACTTTGTTAGAAAAATACAGTGATGGGACTTAATTTAGAATTGACCAACCAAATGATGGCAGCCCTTCAGAGTGAATGAAAGGTTTTTGCACAGAGTTAGTTTGCGCAAACAGCAGATGATGTAGTTTTCTAGTCACTGAGTGGCATACCACAAATGCTGCAATCATCTCATGGTTTATATGCGTAATTACCATTTAACTATGGTCCCTCGCACATTATATATCCAAACAAATATTTTGTGTAAATATATTTTTACAGAATTTTCATCAGATGCCAACAAAATTGATTTCAAAAGAGAAGTTTTGTACAGATACTGGAAATGCTCTTCTTACACAGTTGTGGTTCTACTTCTGTATAATGTCATGTCAGAAAATGAATTGATGATAACTGTATTGTAAGAAGTACTTACTCTCCTTCACCTAGCTTTGTTAGAAGGTTAGTTGATGTCCAAAAGAGCTAACAGCAGAATAATCTTTAACGGTACCACACCAGAATTCCCATACTTTGATCTCAGCTTCCTACTGTGGGAGAGCCTGAAGCTCCATCATTCAGTGATTTTCAACCTTTTTTAATATGCAAACCCCTAAAAAATTTTGAATGGAGGTGTGGACCCCTTTGGAAATTCAACCTGTAGTCCACGGACCCTTGTTATAGAAGTCTTAGACTGACAGCTGGCTGAACAGAATTCAACTATAAATGTTGTGCGTGCTTGGCATAGCATTTGACACAGCATGAGAAAGGGTGCTAAACTGGTGCTTCTATGGTAATGACAATGCTTCCAGGTTTTGACCTGAGGTGTGGGTATTCACATACTTTTGATTTATCAGAAAAACAGAATGCCTTTTCTGGGATCTGAAACTTAATTTTCATAGTCACCTTTCGCGGACCTCTTAGACATAGTCTGGGGACCCCCAGGGAATCTGTGAACCACAGGTTGAAAACCACTGCCCTAGTTTATAGATTTTTTTTTTCCCCTGAGAGTCACTGGCACTTAGGCATGAGTCCCTCCCCAATGTTTCATTCCCTCACCATGCCTCAGTTCCCTCCAGTATCTCTCATTCAGTTACTTTCTGAACACGGTCAACAAAGATGCTCTCTCCAGGAACTCTAAGTTGATTTTGTCATCTCTTTTGGATGCAGGCACATTCTGTCCTTTATTGGTTTTTCCCCTCGTCCATTGTTCCAATTAAATAATTTAAAGTATTTGCCTGAGATAGTAAAATCTGAGGACTTTAGGCTGCTGTCTCATACGCAGGATGTTGGGTTGCCTGTAAAGGCTTTGTTTGGCTGATAACTCTGAAGAATTTGTCACATCATTCCATAGTGGACTAAACCTAAAGAAGGCATGATCATATCTGATTTATTTTGGATACAGCACAGATCATGCTTTTAAAGAAGTGACCCTTTGTTGTTACACTTCTCAAACAATCACAGAGTTCTTCTGTATATATGTACTTGAGGCGCTGCAGCTAGTGTTTGGTTTTGGCCTCAAGAGAAGAGTCTCCATTTTGTGTTTTGTTGGTCTATGTTAATATTTCTGAGAGGGATACTCAAGCTCTCCCACTCCCTAGAGTGCGTTGTTCTTCGGAATGTCTAGTGATGCTTTGGACTGTGGCTCATATTGTTTTTTAAGAAATGTGAAAACATGAAAACATTCATAAATACATTTTTGGCAATATATATTTCTGGTTCCAGTGTGAGATAGCCCTCAGGTTTTTTGCTGTCCAGTAATGGAAATCCTGTGTGTTTGGAATCTTTTTAAAGAAGGGATAGTTACTTAAACTATCAAATTTCACAGTATTACCATTCGCCCACCTCTTTTCCCTT